GGCGAGCATGTGTATGTATGCAAAGGTACATAGACACATACATGTACAGTTGTGTACAAATGCATAAATAAATAGATCAATAATATGACGTGTAAATACACATATGGGGGTTTAGCCGATGGCTTGGGTTCATGGGTAGTTATAAGTGGGGTCATAAGCAGGGCAACTATAGTTATCACCTATATTCGGGGCTAACCGTTAGTAGTTATACATGGGTTTATAAGTTATACTAGTACCCATTTTATTGACTTCTAGCCCCAACTATAAGTGGCTATGAGCCTCCAAGTATAAAGCATACAGCTAAGTTCGGCATGCATATTCCCACACATGAAGATTCCTGTGTTTGCGCCGCTAGATGGCGTGTAGATGGGGCTGGCACCCTCATCCCGGACAGATTCGCGGCACGACCTCCTGAAAAAGCTCGCCTGGTCGCCAAAGCAGCGGATGTCCAGACAAGCCCGAAACGGCCCTAAACTTTGTAAGCCCTATAAGCCCAGTAACCCTTAAATTGCCGACCCTTGCCGCACCTCCCAACATCCCTCAAGGCTGAACCTAGTCACAGACAACAGAATGGAGGGGATTGAATCATTAGTAAGAGTGTCTTTTCTTAGTCTCATAGTCTCGAGTGTGACACTGTGTGACTATAGTGTAACATACACAAAACCCTAGTCCATGTAGTAGGTCCCTTCGTCAACAACTCGTCCATTTCATGCGTGCATTGTTCTGACCAGGGTAGTGGTAAGAGGCTTACAAGCAGCCATTATCAATTACTGTAGTCGTGATTTTGCTTGTTGTTCTACAATTGAGTAGAACTAGGGAAATACAAACTCAGCTCACGACTGCGCATCAACCCTGAAACATGAATCGCAAGCTAGGAACCGGGGAAGCGCAATAAGCCCGGCGGGTAAGCCCGGTAAGCTTGATTGATGAAGCCCAAACCCTCCGCAACCCAAACTCGGTCAAAGCCCAGAACGGACACTACGGGCTACGTACCTCGTGTCTAAGGCTTTACAGTTTTGGAGCTTAGAGCCCGTGCTTGCAACCCCAACCGCGGTATACTGCAAGCATGAGACCCACGCACTGTCGTGTGATCGCTATGTGATCGCTGACTGGGGAGACGGTTCAGGAAGTGTAGGGGCAGAGCCAGACAAGACTTTGATTGTACGAGGACGCAGCTTACGCTAGAGCAGCCACAAGTCTTGTGCGTTCCTTCTTAGTTGTGTTACTTTGGTCGTACAGTGCAGTTGCTCATAGCTCGGGAAATTTGGTGGGTGCTGGCCAGCACTTTTGTTGTTTCGAGCCCGCCACTTCTTGTAAGCAGTGGGGTTTTGGCTTCGGCCCAAAACAAAAGGTAGACCTCAGACCACTGTTTTTGCACTCCTCTAACTTTAGGGACCCCCCAAAACACTGAACCCTGAAGACGAAGTCGTCGGCTAGGTGTGCTCTTCTTCTTCATCGCTTTCGTTGGCAGCGCAACCGGCCTGTTTCCCACCCCAAATCCTGGATTCCTCCCGCAGGACTTGAAGATAATAGGCGAAAGGGCAAGGAAGCAAGACAGACTTGTCTCTGCTTACATGTCTGGTGTGCCATGCAAGAGTGTAGTTGCTTCTTCTTTTTGACTGCTGGGATGTTGTGCTCCCTGTTTTACGATTTAACTGAAAGCCCAAATGCCAAGGCAAAGGCTCAGAAACCCTTAAACCAGACTCAAGAAAGGGCCTGGCCCAATCTTGGTGGGCGCCAGCAGACCTCGCAATCTGAGAGCACTTCAGAATCGACCGAAGGCCTTCTTTGCTCAAAGACCCAATTGAAACCACTGTCAGAAGTTGCACTGAAGCTCTTCCCCGGCCCGGTGCAACTCGCAGCTGTACAGCACAGAATATTAAATACTCCATCCTCCCCAGGCCAAGCCAAAATTAGAAAGTGCTTTAGCCCCGAATCACCACGATGCGCCGCCGTGGCCTTGCGGTGGTTACGGCGATTGCGCTCGGTGCTGGTTCTGCCTGGTTGACGTGGCAGAAGAACAGCCCCGAAGCACCAGAGGGAGCGAAACAGCTGTCAGGGCGACGGCAGGCACTTTCCACCGCCACAGCCGGGGCAGCAGGCTTGACGGAGAGAGCTGAGGCAGCCGAGGCGGAGACCGAGCAGCCTCTGACCTACTGTGGCGGTGGCTTCTGCACTTCCTTCAGCCTCGGTGGCCGGCAATTCCGTGGAGTCGTGGACACGGGGAGTCCCTTCCTGCTGGTCAGCACGTGCGACGATGGACGAGGAGCTTCGGGCCGGAGTTGCACTTCCTACTGCAGTGCCTGGGGATGCACCACAGCTGCCAAAGGGCGTCCATCTGGTCTGGAAGATACCGATGAGGTCTTTGCCGCCGGCACGGCGAGGGTAAGCTGGCGAAAGGATTCCCTGGAGCTGGGGGGTCGGCCCTTTGGGTCCATCACCTACGGCGTGATGCTCGAGGTGGAGTCCTACGGCGGCAACGGCGGTGGCGCCTTCCTCGGCCTCGTCCGAGATCGCCAAGCCCGGATCCGGCCGACCCTGGTGGGGCAAACGGATGTCAGGACACTTGGTTCTCCAAAATCTCAAGCTTTAACCTTTTTGGGTTCTTAGAATTTAGTAGTAAACTTCTTGGTTTCTTAGAATTTAGTAGTAAACTTCTTGGGTTCTTAGAATTTAGTAGTAACCTGCAAGTTTAACCTGTTATTTCCCTATTTTATTGGGGAAGTAAGGACACTGTCCATCGACCTCCGTCCTGGCCAAGAGCGCCTCGCCTTCTCGCGGGCAGCCCCCTTGCAGGGAGACGGGGCCATGGTGCCACTTGTGGACCTTCGCGGCTCCGGGGCGGCTGTGCGGTACTATGCCGCTGAGGTTGCCGCTCTGAATGTGGGTGGCAGGCCTTTGGAAGTTGAAGGTCCTCTGGTAGCGGTGCTGGACACAGGAACAACAGGGCTTGGGCTGCCCTCCGCGCTGTTCGCGCGCTACGATGCGCAGCGGCGTGAGCGGGCCGAGGAGCTTGGCCTCAAAGCAGGGCAGGCTGTTGAGATTCTGCTCAAAGCAGCAGATGGAGGCGTGCTGCCTCTGAGCTTGCGCCAAGGCCGACAAGCACCCTATGAATCGGACCGCTTCGACATCGTCACGGCAATACCCGAGCCTCCAGGCATCGCCCCGGATGCACTGGCACTTTGGACAGGAGATCCCGTGGGTGCCAAGCGCCTGACGCTGCGCGAAGGGGATTTGGTTGCCGAGGCCATGGAAGTGCGCGCTTCTCAGCGTGGCTGGGTGCAGGCAGACAGGCCGGTGAGCCAGGGAGACCGCTTCCTCGTTCGATTGGTTGGCCGCACAGCTGGGCGCCGGCTCATGGATGCGGCTGTTGGCCTTGCACCACGTGGCTCTCGACTCACGGCCGAGGAGGCTGCGGCATTTCCGGGCGAATTGCAGTCTGGCGATCTCGTTGAGTGCTTGCTGTCAGACGACGGATCAGGCCGTGTCCTGTGGCGAATCAACGGTGGCAAGGCCGTTTATTCCTCGGAGCCTTTTGAAACGGCGAGGAACGTCTACCCAACTGTCGAGCTGGGCCCTGGTGCCGGCTCTGTGGAGCTCCTCTCCGCGCCCGCGGGCAACAGCTTCGATGAGGGTTTGGGCCGCTGGGCGCGGCCTCCGTCTGAGGCAAGGTCTCGACCTACCGTTCTCTTCCTTGGCCTTGGCTTCTTATTGGGGCGGAAGCTGAGTATCGACACTGTGGCCAACCGTGCTGTCTTCATGTGAGATCAGTCGGAGCCTGCTGTGCAGAATGTTCTTTTCGGATCGCTTGCGAGAACCAAAAGACGCCCTCTTGCAGTTCTCACCGGGCGTTGTATGCATCTGAAGCTGGCCACTTCGCCACACTTGCTTGCAAACCTGTAGTAAGCATAGTGTCCTTTGTTGGAAGCCTTCTCATGCCATGGTTGTGCATGCAGCGGCACGTGCCTCGCGAGGCATTGTAGTATATGCGAAGCATGAGACATCATCTGGCTTTTCCGCAAGCTGGACCTGAATCGTAATCCCATCACGTCAAGAACGAAGCCAACGATGCTTTGACCAACAAGAAGTGGGCTTAGAGCATTCAAGTGGCCCGGATGCAGCACTTCCTCCCAGCAGGTTCTGTCGCCGCCCTGGAGCCCAATCAGTTTGGCCTGACAAAGCATCTTGGCCATGTCTTCACCCAAGGCAAGAGACGTTTTGATAACCTTTTGGGGTACATTTGCAGCGATGTCGGGGTGTTGGGGCAGTGTCTGGTTCGCAAAATCCCTTGACGTTGCCGTCCCAGGAACGTGGTATCAGGCTCCATTGCTCCGCATGCCGAGGGCTCAGTGGCCGATTGCGGGTTCCAGGGTTCAGGCTCTCGGTTCGGGCTTTGGGCTTGTGGGGTCCTCGGTTTGGGATTTCGGCTTTCGGATTAGGGTTTAGGGTTTAGGGTTTAGGGTTTAGGTTTCTGGGTTTCGGATTTCTGGGTGTGCCGAGCCCGAAACTCTTGGCCGCCGGTCTCCTCAGGTCCTGAGAGGCGGCCTTCACATCCTGGGCCCCCTGAGGACGCAGCTCTCCACTTAAGGGATCATGGGACTTAGTCAGTAGGGTTATAACTAAGGTAACTATACTTATAACCCCAATTAGGGGACTTATAACCTCACTTACTAAGTCCCATGATCCCCCAAGCACGGTCAGACGTGGGTTTTCCTGAAGCCCCGGTCGGTCACAGGGTCTTTGGTGGCCCGGGTGCCAGTTTGCGGCTTCAAAGCTTTAGGGTTTTTCAGCTTTCCACAGGCTTTGGTTGGGCGGTTTGTTGGAAGATGTTGGAAGTCTTGTTGTGAGTTGGGGCAACCGCTTCTTCAGACGTGTCTTTGTGTGCGAGATCCCCAAAACTTTTTCAGCGATGTTTCTGAGCCAAACTCGACGAAACTTGTGTTTACAGATCAAGCAGGTGGCAAAGTGACACTGCCAAATTCTGCGCTGCGGAGGGGTGGTTGCTTGTGGGTGGCCAGGGTCGCAGCTGAAGAAAGTGATGCTCGGCTTGCGTGGTGCTTTAGGCTGCCGTGTCTTCAGCCGCTTCCGTTTGTGCAGCTGGTGCTTGATGCGTGGGGCTACTCTCCTGACTGACTCTTGCGCTGCTCGGCTTTTGCCAGCACGTGTCACGGCCGATGCCACCCCTAATTCTTGTGCTGCCTAGCATTCGGTGCGCCCGGCTGGCTCTTGCGCTGCTCGACTTTTGCTAAACTTTTGTGCGGCTGATGCTCATGATGCGCAGCTACTGTCCCGGCTGATTCTTGCGCTGCTCGCCTTTTGCTAAGCTTCGGCACGGCTGATGCTCATGATGCGCGGC